AGTTAGTGACAGCTAACTTGTTTTGTTGAAAATACTAAAAGATTCTCCCTTCAAGTTTCAATTTGAAATACTACATATAAAATGGATTAGGGACACTGAACCGACTACAGACAATAGTAAATCAAAATAAACAGTTGTAAAGAAAATTAAAAAAAAATATATAAAAAATCAGCAATTTTAATTTGAATAAAAAATAATTTAAAAAAAACGGTAATCCTGCAGAATCTGGGAGACACTTTAAAAACACCTTCAAAATTATTATTTTTTTCACAAAAATAATTTTATATAGGTAATAGACCATGCTGATAACGAATCTGAGCTTAGAAAATGTTTATTTCGAATCCCGGACCCGGATTCGACCAGGTCGAATTCGGGGTAAAAAATTCGAAATTAAAAATTTAGGGCTAATCTGACACGCCTATTCGAGCTGAGTCGAATGGTATCAAAATTATTCAGTTTCGACAACTTTGGACGAAGTTATAACCAGTTAAATAACGCTTGGTTAGACTTCCGTATACAAATCAGATACCATAACTTCGTCTAAAATTGTCGAAACTGAATAATTCGACTCACCATTCGACTCAGAATCTCACCATTCGACTCAGAATAAAGAGACGAATCAAAATGACCATAATATCATCATTTCGAATTTTTACCCCGAATTCGACTTGGTCGAATTCGGGTCCGGGTTCGAAATGAGCAAATTCTAAGCTCAGATTCGTAATCAGCATGGCCGATTACCTAAATAAAATAATTTTCAGAAATGACAATTTTTAAGGCGTTTTTCAGGTGTCTCCCGGATTCTGCAGGATTACCAAAAAAACATCTTTTAAAACAACCTTGAAATCATCATCCTTATTCTCCTCAGCATCGGCCACCGCTAATCTCGATTTTTTCCGAGCTCATCCACTAAAAAACAGAATTTTTTTCATCTAGCAATTCTAAAAAAATTTCTTACCTTTTCCTTCTCAATGATAAATTAACGTCTCCCTTGGATACATCCTGAACCAAATGCTGAAGATTGTGCTTCTTCTAAATTTAATTTGGAATAAAAAAAATAAATTTGAGAAAATCCCTCAAAAAGGCCTTATAAAAATTCAAAGGGCATTAAAAATATCTCTCCCTTTTTTGTTGTTCCCTCAAAAACTATACTAAAAAAGAGATAAAAGGATCAATCAAGCATGTGATCAAAATAAAAACGTTACGAGAAAGAAAAAAAAAACATGGATTTTTGGATATAAACTCTTAATCAAGAAGAGCGGCTGTCAATTAAAAAAAAATATTTTTTATAAAGTGTAAAAATAAGAGAACAATTTAAAAGACGAGAAAAAATCATTCTTCATTGTACCTAAAAAATATTTGAACTAAAAAAGTGTGGTTTTCCTTCTTTTTATTTTTTTAAAGATCAAGTTTGACTAAAAAATATTTATTTTTGATTGAAACAAATGCAGAGACTTTCAATGCCTAATGTACTACAAACGGAAGAAGATGATGAAGAATATGATGAAGATGAGGAATGGACATATGAATATGTGACGGATAGTGGGGAAGAATGGGAAGAGGATGAAGTTAAGGATGAAAAAAAGGCAAAAATGGAAGGGAAGGAAGATAAAGAAGTGAAGAAAAGGGAAGAGGAAGAAAAAAAGAAAAAGGAAGAAGAGAGGAAGAAGGCGGAAGAGAAAAAACAATTGGAAGAGAAGAAAAAGGCCGAAGAGAAGAAAAAAGAAGACGAGAGGAAGAAAGCGGAGGAGAAGAAAAAGGTTGAAGAGAGGAAGAAAACGGAAGAGAAAAAACAATTGGAAGAGAAGAAAAAAGAAGACGAGAAGAAGAAGGCGGAAGAGAAGAAAAGGGCTGAAGAGAAGAAGAAAACAGAGGAGAAGAGAAAAGCAGAAGAGAGGAAGAGAACGGAAGAAACAAAGAAAGCGGAAGAAAAGAAGACTGAAGAGAAGAAGACTGAAGAGAAGAAGAAACTGGAAGATTTGACCAAAAAATCAAAAAGTGAACCCAAAAAGGAAGAGGTGAAGAAAGATGGGAAGAAAACTGCAGAGACAAAAAAGGTTGAAGATAAGAAGAAGGTGGAAGAAACGAAAAAGAAAGGAGAAGATTTGACTAAAAATGCAAAAACTGAAGCCAAAAAGGGGGAAGAAAATGTAAAAATGACCAAAAATGAAGATAAAGAATCCTCCAAGAAGACCCCAATACCTCCACCAAAACCAGTCACAGGGCAGAAACAAAAAGAGGAAACAAAACAGAAAGAAGAAGCAAAAGCAACAACAACCACTAAACCCCCAACACCATTAACAACCAAAAAATCCACTACAAGCACACCAGAAAAACCAAAACCAGGAGAATCGGCAACCAAAATTGGGACAAAAACGGAAGTTCCAAAGAAAGCTGCACCTACCCCACCCCCAAGAAAGCCTGCTGGAACTTCCGAACAACCAAAAAAGGAAGAGAAAAAATTGGAAGGTTCGAGAAGTGTTTCTCCGGTCAAAAAAGGGGTACTAAAACCAACAGAAAAGGGTAAAATTTGTAAAAAAATTATAATTAAATTTAAACAAACCTCTAAACAGAAACAAGCCATAAAAGTAAACAAGAAGAAAAACCAAGAAGATCAACAGTTGAACAATTAACCAAAGAAGAACAAAAAGATAAAAGATTGTCAGCTGCAAGAGGCTCTTCTGTTGTTAGAATAAAGGAACCTGAAGAAGAAAATAAAAAATCAGCAAGGAAAACAGTTCCACGCTCCCACTCTTTGGTATTTTTTTAAATTAATTTTGAAGGGTCTATTCTAAACCATAATGGTCAACTGACACTGGAGGTCAACCCCAAATATTTGGAGTTGAACTTAGAGTCTATTGACTTCACCTCTAATGTTGACCTCGTGGGAGTTGATCCCATTTCCAAAAAAATTTAATTTTCAAAAAGGCTGGAAGCGAGGATCCCCGAAACCTGACCAATTCAGCAGCATCCAACAGAGGAAAATCATCATCGCCTTTCCGTTCTACATCGCCAGTTAAATCAGTTAATGAAAGGCGGAAGGCGTTCATCAATCCAGAAGCGCCTCAATTGGTTTGAAGAAAGTTTTCTTAAAAAATTTTTTTCAATTCAAAAAAAGGTAATAGATAACGTACCTCGAGGCAATTTGCTTGCTCGTTTTCTCAAAAATCCTCCAAAACCTCCATCCCCTCCACCAAAGAAGGAATTTAAATGGGCATTGCCAACAACTTCAAAAGCAACAGAATCGACATATTGGAAGCCGCCACCAAAGCCTCAGCCATACAAATCTTCTGGTAAAATAAGAGGGAATTTAGAGACATTGAAAATATTTTTTTCGACCCCTGGAAACGTGGCGTGAACTTTGTGGACAAGAAGTTGCAGATCCGAACTTTGGGAAACGAAAGTGTGCGAATTTATGGTCCGCAAAATTCGAATCCACAAGTTTCGGGTCTGCAAATTTTAGGATCCACAAATCTCGGCTCCACATATTTGAATCCGTAAGGTTCGGAATACCCCATGAAATACTCAAAAAATTTTACTTTAAAAATTAATTCCTGTTTACAGCCCCAGAATACAAAGAAAATCCATTAATTATTGAACCAATCCTTTTCCCCGAAGAGCAAAAAGTTTATGAAGAAGAAAAACGAAAGGAAGAGGAAGAGAAGTCGGGAGGAAAGAAAGGAGAGAAAAAAGGAGGAAAAGTTGAAGGGAAAAAAGGAAGTGGAAGAATTGAAGAGAAAAATATTGGGAAGAAAAAAGACGCGGTAGGAGGGGTTAAACATAAATTTAGAAAAAAAATTTTTAATTTTAAAAGGACATAAAGAAAACGGCCAAACCTGAAGTAAAAAAAGAGACTGGGAAAAAATATGAAGTCAAAAAATCCCCAGCCAAAAAGGAAGAAAAAGAGACTGGGAAGAAAAAAGAAGTAAAGGAAGATGTGAAGAAAGAGAAGAATTTAAAAGATAAGGAAGTTAAGGGGAAGGAAGAAAAGGAAGTGAAGAAAGGGAAGGAAGAGAAGGGAGAGAAGAAGGAAAAAGGGAAGGAAGAGAAGAAGAAACCAGCGAAGGAAGAAAAGGAGGAAGAAAAAATTGTTGATGAAGATATGGAAGATGAGGAAGAAAACATGGAAGATGAAGAATTAAGTGCGGAACTAGACGAAGAGGAAGAAAATGTGGAAGATGAAGACAAGGAGAATGAAGAGGAGGAGGAGGAACCAAAGAAAAAGAAGCGAAAAAAGAGCAAAAAGAATAAAAAACCTAAAAAGGTTAAAGCTGAAAAACCAAAAAGAAAATGGGTACCACCTCCAAGGCCTCCACCAGGTGAGAAGGGGAAAATGAAATAGAAAATAATTTTAAAAAAATTCAGAAGCAATTGAAATGCCTCCAGAAGAAAGGCATTTATGGGAGATTGGAAGAGAGGAAGTAAGGCATGGAAATAGGCCTGCAAAAATGTACGCAAAAAGGGAAAAAGCGTAAGGATTTTAAAGTTAAATAATGGAAAAATATTTTTGAAAATTAAAAAAAACCTCAAAAAATTTTCCTTGTTCACCCACTGTCCATTCCATTTCCACCCATAAAAAAGCATCCCCATCCTAAATTAAAAAAAATTTTTCAATTCTTTAAAAACCCAAAAAAACCTCTCAAACTTAAAGCGACTCCATCGACCTGCCTTATGTCTTTCCATGGGAGGCTTGTCCAGCATTACAAAGCCAAACAGGAATGTGTGCATTTGGAACACATCGAGATCCAAAAACAAAAGTTGACCAAGGGCATATTGAACTTGTACAGGTTGGGTTAAAAATTAAAAATTTTTTCTAAAAAATTTTTAAAAATACATAAATGGGTCAACAACCCAAAAAATTTTTCTAAAAATTCAAGCAAAAAATTCCATTTAATATAAAAAATACAAAGAAATTAAAAAAAGAAAACCAGAAAAATATGAGCAATCAAGAAATTTTTTTATTCGCGAGCAAAATTTCTCTTTTTCACAAATTTATTCGGTCAAGTCTGTTGTAAATCAGTATGCAATTCTGAACGATTTGTTGCTTTTTTGAGTTCATTTATCTTTAAGGAAAAAATTACAATTTTAATATGTAAGAAATTTAAAAATCCTAAGAGAATAGACAAAAATTCTTAAAGGGTTTATAAATGTGATAAAAATACAGATAGCTTAGGGAGGAGAGATCTGTGTAGGGAAGGCAGGGAAGATTCCGCTAGTTTACGCGGGAGATCTAGGATTCTCCTATACATATGTGATAAAGAAAAGAAGTCATAACCCGACATCCACTCATCAGTTAGCAAAAACTTAGCAAATTATTAGCAAAAACACATGATATCCTTGTTACAGGCCAAGAGTCCTCTACTACTGGTTCAATTCCGTTGCTTAAAAAGGTATACCCAAAACTCAAATTTGAGAAGGTACCCCTCGAAAAGAATTTAAATTTTAATAACCCTTCCTAAAAGTTGTATAGCCTCTCCTTCCTCATTTTCTATCAAAAAACAACCAAAATATAAATTTAAAAATAACCTTTGAAGCAATTCTATTTGCATAAGTTGTTGTCAATTTAGCCCCCAAAAATTCTCTTTCTTCCAAAACACCAGATAAATTTCCAAGTAAATCTTCATCCATCTTTTCCCATGCTTCACATGCTGCCGCATTTAATCTCAATTCATTACAAATTTTAATTCTGTATTGCTCTCGTTTCTAATTAAAAATCATAAAAGAGATTTGAAATCTAAAAAGAAACCTCAAAATTCAATCCTGGAATTTTATTCCGCATTTTTTGTGTTGTTGAAAGAAGTAGAGGATAATTATCTAAATTAAAAAAAGATTTCATGCTAAATCAATTTTTGACCATTACTATCAAGGATGGGACGGGTTGCACGAAACGTGGACGACTTTTTTCCGAGCAGAGACAAGACAACTAACTTTTTCCCTATTAATCATTCAACCGACCCGAGCCAAAACCCAACACGGACGCTTTTTCGACCCCAGACCCGAGCCAGAAAAACTTTGAAACCCCATTCCCATACCCAAAAGAGAGTGCCATTCTCACCCAAAAATTCCAATTAAACAAAAAATATTTTTCAAAATTTCTAAAACAAAACCTGCTTTATCCTCCTTCAAAACTTTTCCAGCATCTGACCATTTTGGAATTTCATTTAATGAACTTAATCTTCTTTTTCTCAATTCACTTTGAACTAGTTCTCGAACACGTTGACGCTCTTCTTGTTCTTGAATTGTAGGATCTGGGCCCATTCCTCCTTCTCGAGTATTTTCATAATCAGCGTCTCTTAATAGCCTAAAATTTGGAAAAATCGTGTCAATAAGAGATGTTTTTATGTCGGTTTCAAACCGATCCGGATCGAAACCCGTAGATTTTCGATTCGTTTTTCAGCTCGGCCCCGGTTAACCAAAATGCCCTAAATCCATCCAACAAACTTTTTATCTTCCGATATCAGTCCCCTTATATCCCAAATCGTTAATGAACCTATTCTCACATGAAAATCTTATTCTTACCGCTTTCTTCCTCCTCCATAAAGTTGTCCATCTTCTTCCTCATTATTATTCATCCCTCTTCTGTTAGTATTTACCCTCTCAAATTTTTCCAAACATTTTAATCCTTCTTTGACTTTTTGAGGATTTTTACAAAAATCACAATTATTCGAACAATTTACAACATTTTCATCAAAATAGCGTCCAATATAAGCATGTCTACAACTTAAAAAATTTCAAACTTATGGAAAAATAAGTTTAAAAACAAACTTTGCCTTCTCCAAATATTCAATCATTTTTTCAAAACCTTTTTGAATTTCTTTTTTTCGTTGTTCAACTACTTGGGCAGGGACACTTTTAGTCTAAAAAATAAATTTTCAAAAAAATTTCAAAAAATAAAAAAAAACCCTATTAATTCCATTAATTGAACTATGTAATCTAAAATTCATCATTCCTTGATATTCACGAGAATAGTAAATACGGCAATAGCTTCGCTTTCCATCACGTCCTGCACGTCCAGATTCTTGATAATACGAAGCCATGTTTAAAGGGGGATTCCAATGAATTACAAATCTGAAAATGAATCCAAGGCCTTAAAAAATTTTTAAATAAAAAACCTCACTGTAGCTTTATCTACACCCATTCCAAAAGCAACTGTAGCAACAACTACAGGCAATTGATCACAACTCCATTTATTTTGGACTTCATCCCTTGCCTGAAAAAGTTTTTTTCTCGATTAATTTTGTGAGGAAGGTAGAAAAAGCAAAGGTAAAGAAATACAAGTCCTGTAATAATTACGACACTTAAAAGGGAGAGGGAAGAAGTAACAGGGATCATTGGGCCTACATATTTCTCCAAGCCAGCGATCGATTAATTCATAGTCATCTTCCGCCCGGACGCCCATATCAATTTAGCACCTATATTAATATTTCCAGGCCGTTTCGAGCGACATCGAAACCCAGGAATAGCCAGCCGGAGGATTCCCTAACAATTATCTGTTCAACCCCAAATCCCCTCTAGCATTGATCCATCCCTCCAAGGGAACCTCGGACCAACACCTTCACTCTTAATAGTTAAAATGAAAGAAAAAACCTTATTGCTAAGCCCAGCATGATAAGCTTCTGCCGGAATTTTTCCTGAAGTCAAGACATTAACCATATGTTCACATTCTGCTCGAGTTTGACAATAAACAATTCCACTTGCTGGGTGAGGCTTTTTTCCTTCCCTTTTTTGCTTTTCACGGGCGTCAAAAAGAATTTTGCGAATAAAGGCAACCATATGAGCCTGAAAAAAATTTTTTTGAAAAAATTTTGATTAAAAAACCTCTGGTTTAGTTGGCAATAGAGATTCTCTAACAATTACATCATAATATAAATTAGCACGATAAGTAGACGATTTGAACATTTGTGGAGGTTTTAATTGCAATTGGTCTAAAATGTCCCTTTCAGTTTTCTCATTTGCCGTGGCAGTTAAAGCTATCCAGTGAACCTTTTAAAAATAAAACAAATAAAATATAAGTTAGGGAATATGTTTTTAACGTAAAATTCTCGGCTGTAAAAATAGTCTCAGAAACGGGCTTCGAACTCTCGCCGCTCCCCATTGCGTCTACACATTATTCCACTTAACCAAAATAACACAAAAGAAAATCTCAAATTTCACAGCAAAATATCGTTAAGGTATTCAAAAATTTTATAGTAAAAACAAATCTCCATCAACGGAACTCGAACCTACGACCCTTCGCCTCGTTATCCAAACATTTTCCCACTAAACCAAACCATAACTTTACGGAAAACTCAAATTTCCCATCCAAACAATGCCAAACAAACATGAAAATTATTAAAAAACAAACCTCACTCCCCATTGCCTTTCTTAAAGATTTCAGTTTCAAATAATCCGGTCTAAAAGAATGACCCCATTCACTAACACAATGCGCCTCATCCACAACAAAATAATTTAAAAGAGAACGTGAAGCCAATTTTGCAAGAATTTCGCGGATATATTCCAGGGCTGCTGATTCAGGTGTTATGTAGAGAATACGAAAACGAGGGGTTGTATGAAGCTCCTTGGAATTTTAAATAAAATTTCTGACCAAAAATTAAAAAAAACCCTCAAAATAGCCCTCCTTTCCTCTTCTTTCAATGTTGAATTTAAAGTAGCACATCTGATTCCTAGAGATTTTAGAGCATTTATTTGGTCCTGTATAAGCGCCAAAAGTGGAGAAAAAACAATCGTAAGGCCAGGATGAAAGCACGCAGGCAATTGATAACAAAGAGATTTTCCAGCGCCGGTTGGGAGAGAAATAAAGACATCGCAATTTTCTAAAATTCTTAAATTTTAATCAGAACCCAGAATAAGATAAGTTCTTGAAGAAGAAAGACCAAATTTAAAAACGTCTCTTAAATAGAGGTGTCCCAAAAATAGGGGGTATACTTATAATGGGGTGTATCTCAAATAGAAGGTATCGCTGAAGAAACTCTTCCATCCATTGTCCAAACAAAATTTGAAAGACGTCTCCCAAATTGAGGTTTATCTAATGATGGAGATTAGTGATCGAGATTTTTGAAAAGCATGGGCCTGTTCCTGGACTACCAGGAAAAACCCAGGAAGGTCAAAAAATGCCTGGGCCTGGACTCTGGTACAGGAAAAACCCTATTTGGTCCAGACCCAGCTCGATCACTGTGAAGATTCACTTACAACGAGGCCCGACAATATAGAACTCATAGGCCTCAGTTTAAAAATTCAAAAAAAAAATTTTCTTACTTTTAATAACACAATTTATTGCATCTCTTTGAATTTGACTTCTAAAGCTTTTGTGTTTAAATATTTTCTGCAAAAGTTCTTCTTTTCGTTTTTGAGGAGGAAATTGTTGAATTCGATCAATTGGATCAACAGGGTCATCCTCATCTTCTTCTTGTATTTGAGAAGCAAAAAAATCTTGAATATTTTGCTTCTTTTTTGCCATTTTTGTTAAACACCCATTTTGACTGTGTTTATTTTCTTCGTCCTCTTCTTCATCCAAAACAATTATTTCTGGGGGTGGAAATGGATTGGAGGCGAGAGAAACGTCCAAAATTGTTACGTCTTCATCTTCATCAAAAGTTGCGCTAGTTCCTGAAGTTCCGGGCTGAAAAATAAATTTGCTTGAATTTTAGAAAATTTAAAGAAAACCTCGAACATTGAAAAATACCGCAGTTTAAGTGTTCCTTTCTACTTTACAAACAAGCTAATAAATGCGAAGAAAGCAAAATACAATTATTAAAAGCCTAAAAACGAAATAAAATTTAAAAAATAAATTTCAAAAATCGCTTAGAAGCGTCTGGCAAAAGAAAAAAACTGACCAAAAGTCAAAATGACCAATTGTAAAAATTTATCAAAAGTTACCATTTTGACATTTTTCAAAAAAATGTTAAAAGACATTTAGTCCCTGACACTTGGACACTAACAATTTAGTCATTCGACAATTTGGAAAATTATAAATTTAGACATTTTGACAAGTTACCATTTTGACATTTTCCAAAAAAATATTCGACAAAATGAAAATTTAAAACAAAACGCCAAAATAACGCCAACCAAAAAACAAATTCAAAAAATTTTAAGGGAGCACTAAAGCCCGAAACAATTCTTCCACTTTTCGAAGAGTCTGAGAGAACTATAGCTTCCCAGAACGAACTTACTTCGTTTGGAGCACATCGCAAAAATGTTGGAAAAATTGTGGACAGTCATGAATATATAAGTGACGATAAAGTGAGAAAAAATAAGGGAAAAATTTTAAAAAATTAAATTTTCAAGTTGCATCTATCCGAAGGAATTATTCCTCGTCATATGCAGGGATCTGTACAAAGTCATGATTTGGATCCGATTTGGGGAAATCTTCGATCACAAGTGAATTTTAAAAAGAATTTTTAGGCTTATGTCGTTTCCCTCCCCTAGTCAAAAATTTTTTAGGATGTACAAATTAGTCCCGAGACGCGACTAATTTGAGGCGCGACACTCCCTGAGACGCGTGCACACACAAGCGTATCGACAACTCCAATAGGGTAACTTGGTTCATTGACTCTCTGACCATTTTGTATACTTTAAACAAAAAATGAATTGGGGAGGGAAACAACATAATTACCGAAAATTTTCCTAAAAAATTATTCAAAAATAGACAACAAAAGTTTGGCAACCAGATGGAACGCGAACAGAACTTCAATGTGCACCCGATTCAAATACCATTATTGGACGCCAATTTGCCCCAGCTAATCCAGAAAATAGGGCTGGAAATAATATAATGGATCGACGACGTTTAACAATTCAACAGATTGAGGCAATTCTTTAGAAATAATTGCGGCATGTCTCAAAAAACCTCAAATTTTAGGGGATAGGCGAATTAAAACCTTCTCGTCTGTCAGAATGTATTGTTCCAAAAATATTTTCTACCGACTTCATTTCACTAAAGAGTGGTGCCGATTTTGGAGCTTTCAGACCAACAAAAATGGAAACAGTTGGTGGACTTGGGATGAGTTTTGACGACGAAAAACTTTGTAAATTGGTTATACCTTATCAGGTGATTTGGCCTTAAAGGCATAAAAAGTTTCTAAATTTTTAGACGGCTGCTTCGCTACGATAAGGGAAATTATATCTCAAAAAATGAAAAAATTGGCAAGAGGAATCTAAAAACATTTAAATGAAATTTTCAGGAATTTTGAAATTTGTTTCTTTTTGAATAAAATTTATTTTTCTGTAAAAAAATCCAAAAACCCCGAAAATTATTAAAAATAAATTGGGCAAAAGCCACGAAAATTACAGAATTTAGCCCGAAAATTATCAGAAAATATGGTCTAATAGTAAGAGAGAATCATAAAACCACCAAAACAATTTGAGGACAAAAATTCCTGATTTTTCTGCAAATATTGATCAAGACAACCGAAGTCTTGGAGAAATTCAGACGGCTGATAATCTTGGACAAAATTTAAAAAAAAAACCCCAAAAATTATAAAAATAAACTGGACAAAAATCGGAGGGTTTGTGGCCTACGAGAAGATCCAAATCCCCAGAAAATTATTTTAAAAATAAGGAGCAAACCCACTAAAAAAAGTTATTTTAAAAAATATTTGTTTAATCAAAAAATAAATAGGGCAAAAAATATTCATTAATCTTCTCACACAAATTTAATGAATAAACAAAAAAAACCTCTTTCCATCATCTCCTTTCCCTCTCCATTTTACTTCTCCAAAGGATTGTAGTTTAACAATTTTTCAATCAAATCAACATGTGAAAGTAACATTCTTCGACAGCAATATCTACGCAAATTGAGTTGATCCAAAGCATCGCCTTCTGTGCTTCCATCCTTTAAAAATTAGATTTTTTGTTTTTCTCGTTCAAAATAAACCTGTAAATGTTGCAAATAAGCGTCCCATTTATTCCCAATAACTTTGCCACAAGTAAAACAACGAACTGGAATTATCATTTTTTTGATGAAAGAGTTAAAATAATTCTGAAAATGAAAAACAATGGATGAAAGAAAAAAAAGAAGCAAAAAACGCCAAAGATAATTTAATAGTTGAGCCTCAATTCGTCCCATCCCTAATTCGTCTCACTAAACAAATCCCCGAATTCGTCCCTACTCAATTAGTCCACAATGCAAAATAGACAATTGGACATTTTGAAATGGGTCTATTTTGAGGAGGAACGAATTAGGAAATTTCTATTCAGTGGGACGAAATGGGCTGGGACGTAAAATAAAAGAGAAAAAGTGATCAAAGTGGAACTGGTAAAATGTCTCATTTTTTAGTTTTTCTTTTCGGTTAGACACGATTCCGTGCGCACGATTCCGTGCACACGTTTCCGTGCACACGATTCCGTGCACACGTTTCCGTGCAGGCACGTTTCCGTGCGGGCACGATTCCGTGCACACGTTTCCGTGTCCGTTATAAAAAACACGTTTCCGTGCCCAATTATTTAAATATTTTTATTTTTTTTAAATTTTTATAAAAAAATTTTAAAAGTTATATTTTTTATCAACTTATCAACTTTGCTTCAGTATTTTTCTTTTCAATTCAAAAAATTTACGCGGAAAAAAGTTTTTGCCGCTGCGGAGGAAGCCGGGCATGTCGAGCGGAACGACGGCCGCCGCTTCGCTACGGTCGCCGCGAGCGAAGCGAGCACGACCGCAGCGAAGCACGGCCATCGTGTAGCGAAGACATCCGTAGCAGCACAAAAACAGTTTTTCCAGCGAAGATTCTGCTGGGTTCTTCTAATTTTTTTAAAATTAAAAAAAATTTTTGAGACTTTTTCCTCCATATCCACCAATATCCCCTTGTTGATGTCTCGATGTCATGCACAAGTCCCTTGATATTCACTGTACTCCTCAAAACCTTTTCTTATTGTTTATTATATTAAAAAGAAATTGAGCACGGAAACGTGTTTTTTATAACGGGCACGGAAACGTGTGCACGGAAACGTGCCTGCACGGAATCGTGTGCACGGAATCATACCCCACCGTTTCTTTTGATTACTCTCCGATTTTAATGACTACTCTCTTTCCGCTTTTATACTAAAAAAGGGGACAATTATTTGTTAATTGACATATTTTCAAATCGCTAGCTAAATTTCAAAATGGTAAAAACAATTATTACCCAAATTAACTATTTTCTTCTGTTTGGTGAAACGAAATTTATCTTTGAAATAAATACAAAAAGCATAAAAAGATTAGAGAACATTAAACGAGGGAACATGCCAAAGTAGCAATTGTTGTTGTTGTCTGCGCTTTTAGAAACGAGATGTCTACTTTGTACTTTTTTTTGTGCAAAACGTCAAATTCATCAGAAAAAAGCAGCGAAACGCCATGAGGATTAATCGATTTTTGTTTGATGCTTCGCAAAAAATGCAATTAATAAATTATTAAGCTAGATATTTTAAAGCTTTTCCTTTTTGTTTAGAAAAAATCCTGAAAACTTTTCTTATTTTTAAACTTTTTTTGGTACTTGTGGGATATCCCACCCAGTTTTTGCGGACTCATAATGGTCAGATATAAAAGGGAAATCGCTCTAATTTCAATATTTCCCCCAAGCAATCATCTCTTCTTGGAATACATCCCCTTGGATGCTCTGACCTTTATGAGAAAATATGTCCGCAAAAAAATGTCCGCAAAAAAGGTCCGCAAAATATATCCGCAAAATAAGTCCGCAAAAACAGACTTGCGGACATAAAAGCTAATAACTTTTTTTAGAGACAAAAATTGGAAGACTACACTTCATCTTTATTTTATGCCCTTAAATTTAAATTGAATTGATCTCTTGATTTTATGATACACTTTTGAAGAAACCAGAAAATTACTCTAAAACATTTTTTTGGAATTGTATATTTATTTAAAAGGTTTTTTTTTGAAAAATTGATAAAAATATTTTTTAATTTTTCAGTTTTTTCGCGCGTTGAATGAGGGGACATCGACGTGAAATAAGCGACTCACATATGCCACTTCGCCAGTCAGAAGTTCAATCTAATTTTGATGGACAGGAACTTCAAGTTTGTTCTTTGAAGATTTTTTTTCTTGATTTATTTTGGGTTCTTGGGATTTTATGACATTCTTTGGGTTCTTGGTTTGAATTTGTCCGTTTATTATCTGAATTTATTGACCATTTTGAGTCCCTGTAACCCCTAGGCTTTTCTACACTCTTAATTCAACTCAGAGATGTCTCCACACAGACTGATTTTGGTCTCATTCGACTCAGCTTGAGGACTTTATCGGCCTATGAACTTACTGACCATTTTGTACTTCCTAATAAAAAATATGGAGGCGTGTCTACTATTAGTTTTCGTTCTTTTTAGGGATTAACCTAATGATTTCTAAGATTTTTTTAGAATGTTTTTAAGTCCTTTTACTTTTTATTGACTAAACCAATGAACCTAAACTTAAAAAATTTTTTCTTTGTCTATAAAAATTTATTTTTTTCAATTAAAAAAGGTTAGAGTAGAGTCTCCTCGCCCTTGCAGCTCTGTAAACATTAGAAATTGTATTCAACTTAATGGGGATATTACAACAAATACTTCACATTTACAGCAACAACAAAAACATTTAATGATGGAATCGAGTTCTCCCATTTCTAGACAAACAACAAATAATAATAGAGACAGAATTAACAATAACACAACAGTCAAACAAACAACCACATATTATTCAACACGGACTGGGGTATTTTTTTAAAGTTTTTTGACAATAGAACTTACTTTAACTACACACCCCGTTTGTTTGCAAGATCAAAATGGTCAAAGGGACCCTATCGGAGTCGGCGAGAGCTTAGGGGTTTGCGCAAGCGTCTCGTTAGAGTTAACGGTTGTTAGGTTTATAAGCAATAAGTTAAGTTCTTATCCCTTGCGAATAATTGGGGTGTGTAATTAAAGTAAATAAGTACCCAGAAATTTAAGAAAAAAATTTAAAAAAATTTTAAGAGGGTCTGGATTAAAAATAAAGCATTCTTGATTTATTTTATGGGGAATAAAAAACTATTTCCGTTGGTGGGATTCGAACCTGCGACCTTCCCTCCCAAAAGTCTAGACGACTACTAATCAACCAAACAACCCTTAATTAAAGTTTTCATAAACTCGATTTTCTAATCACTAATTTTTATTAAAAAATCTAAATTTTTTAACAGACCTTCTGTTCAGAACTTGTAAAAACATTTGTAGCCTTTCTCTGTTTGACAGTTTCTGCATTCCTTAATTTTTTTCTTCTAACAATTATTCACGATATTGTGCCGAGGGTGCCGTTAAAGTTTGTTTTTCTTAATTTAATTTTTTAATTATTTTTTGCAGTGATCTGGTTTGGTTTATAGTTCCACAACAAAGTTGGGCTTGGCCTGTAGGGGATGTTCTTTCTACTGTCAAGTATTTTTTTTTTTGATTTTTTAAAGTTTTTTAATTTAAAAATGACAAAGAGTTTTTAAAAAAATTTTCGCAAAATTTGCAATGAAAATTTTTGTGGAAATTTATCCAAATTTTCCAAAACAATTTTTCGTATTTTTTTGGAAATTTTTCCAAAAACAAATTTTAGAAATCTTTGGGGAAATTTTTCGGAATTTTTTTAGGATTCCAAAAAAAATTCGAAAATTATTTTTGAATTTCTAGAAAATTTTCTAATAAAAATGAAATTTATTGGAATTTTGGGGCAATTCTTCCGAAAATTCTTCAAAAATTTCTGATAATTTTTTTGAAATTTTTGGGGAGATTTTCTGAATATTTCTTAGAATTCCAAAAAAAATTTTCGAATTTTTTTTTTAATTTTTTGGAAATTTTGGGTTCTTTCCGTTTTTGAAAAATTTTTCTCGGAATTTTTGTTTTCTTAAAGTTTCCCAAAAATGTTTTCGATTTAAAATTTTTTAATTTAGTTCTATTGTTGGATTTGCCATTGTAATGTTACACAGTCATCGCTTAGTTATTTTAAGAAGAGTTTTTTTAATTGCTGCAATTCTTTACGGTTTTTTAATTTTGAAAAATTTCTAAAATTTAATTTAAAGGTTTAAGAGCTATAGTTTTGGGAGTTACCTTCTTGCCGCCGTCCTTTGAAAATCGTGATACCATTTGTAGACCTCAAATGAATGGAACTTCAATGTATGCAGACGAAATAATGGCTAGATTTGTACGGTTTTTTAAAAATATTTTGGGGGAATTATTTAAAAAAATATTTTTTTTGAAGGTTACTTATGTTGTTACGCTTGGATTGGTTAGTTTAAAATTTTTTTTAATTGAAATTAATTTTATAATTGTGAGCGAGAGGGAAATATTTCTAAAAATTCTATTGACTTTTTGGATGACTCACTAATTAAAATTGAAAATGAAAAAATAAGTAAAAGGATGATACATTTATTCATTTCATAAATTTTTAATTCATTAAATTTTTTTTTGTATATGAGTTGTCGGCAAGAAGTCCGACTGTGAACTTTTTTCTAAATTTATTTTGGAATTTTTTTTAAGTTTTTTGATGTTTTCAAGTTTTTTCCAAAAACATTTTTGGGTATTAGGTTTGGAAATTTTTCTGAAGTTTTGTACCGTAAAAACCCTCTCTCTAACCCTCTCCCTTAATTTTAAATTTTATTTTATAAATATTTATTTTTTCCAGACTTCTAGTCAACCAGAAATTCTTTGCGGTGATTTAATGTTTAGTGGGCACACTGTTGTTTTAAGCATAATGTATTTTACTCAATTGCGTTATAGTCCTAGAGGATTGTTTTTAATTAGGTTTTATTTTAATTTTGTTTCAAAAATTAAAAAAATGTTTTTAAGATGGATAGCCCTTCCAGTGACATTTTTGGGTATCGGGGCTTTGGTGTTGAGCGGTGGACATTACACAGTAATTTTTTTTATTTTTTAAATTATTTTGGGGATATTGTCCATTTTATGAGTCCAATTACACCTTTATGCGTCAAAAAAAGTTTATACGTCCATTAAGGGAGGCATACGTCCAAACAGATACGTCCAATCAAAAAATGCGTCCAATCATTACATTTTTCGACGTGTTTTGTTAACTTTATTATGCATAATGTTTGAGTGGACGAAATAAACTTGTAGATGAACGTATATAAATTTGTTTGGACGTAGTGTTGGACATTAAAGATTGAGATTTTTGAAAACTCTGGGCTTGTTTTTGGATTCTATGGGGTCTGATTTATTGACATGGGCCAGTAGTCCAGGGAAAACCCAACCCAGGAAGGTCAAAAAATGCCCTGGCATGACTCTGGGTCAAGAAAAACCCCGACCTTGGTGCAGCCCCAACTCAATTTTTAGCAGACATTACACAGTAAATTAGACGTTAAATTCTTTATTGGACGCATATCGGCGTGATTGGCCTCATAAACTAAACAAGAGCCTTATTTTTTATAGATGGACGTATTAATTGCATATTGGCTTACTTCTCACGTCTTTTGGGCTTATCACCAAATGTTTGAATGTCCCAGACATCGAAGACCTAAAGCGCCGCTTTCAAATATTTGGTGGTTTTGGTATGATTTTTATTAAATTTTCGAAAAATTTTTTTAATTTTTAAAGGCTCTGTTATTGGTTTGAAAACGAAGTACCCGATACTGGACCTTTAAAAAACGAGTGGAATTGGCCTTTTTCTGGACCTAGATGTTTGCATCGATTAATGGCAAAATTAAATTGTAAATTGAAATAAGTATGAATTTTTATTTTCTTTTTGTTTTTGAGCATGGTAAAAAAAGGTTCAGTTAGTCTCATTTTGTGGCCTATTAAATTGTAATTAAGTTATGGGTTTGGTGAAGACTCCCCCTTGTAATTTTGGGGATTTCTAATAAACACTAAAATTTTGGTCTTGTTGTTACGGGCGGGGGACAAAAAACAGCGGGGACCGATTTTACAGGAAATTCCCTTCCCAGGGATATGTATCGAACCCTACTAAAAACTACCAATTGAAACCTTTCAACACCTAAAAATAAAAATTAATTTACATCAGCAGGACTCGACCCCTCTCTCTCTATAAAGCTTCCCATTAGTTCTCTCCCTCCTCTAATCCAAGTATCACTAATTCCCCTCTCACATAACGAGATGAGACTCACTGAACTATTAAAGAATAATACATATTGTGCCAATTTCAATAGAAACTATAATCTCTTAAATCCTTTGAAAATATATATTTATATTGTTTTTAGGTAAATTATTTTATTTTGTAGGTAAAAATACATTGTAATATATTTATTTTTATTATAAATAACACTTCTTTCAATCTTTTGTCTCTCATTTTATTTTTTTGCTTATTTTTAAATCTGACCTCTTATAAAAATAAAATTTATTTTTGTTAGTAACCGGGGTTATTTTTTAAAGAAGACTACTACTAATTAACCTCCACCCACTGTCTCCATTTATTTAATTTCTTTTTGGTGTTGTATTTTTTTTTATTTCAAAATACCTTTATTTTAAACGCTTCCTTGCCTCATACTTTTTTCTCTCAACTTTGTAAATTTGTAAAAAAACTATTTCCTTCCCCCTTCGTGATACTCCTCAAAACATATTTAATTTTAAACATGGAGAGATCAACGTTTTTTGTTCCGGTCATTTCAACGACATTATCTTTTGTTTTTTTTATTTTTAAAGGGTTTTTAAAATTTTTTTTGAATAAAATTTCAAAATAATTTTCACCCAAAAAATACAATGGTAAAAAACCCAAGGCTTACTGATGCTCCGGTGTCTTGAGTGTGTACTATACCTTTGGGTGAGTACTGCCTTTTCTTCCCCCCCCCCCTCCCAAATGTGGAAGATGCTGACTCACGACATAGACTGTCCATCTGATGGAGAAAGTCTGACCATTTTGTACGTACATATGAAAAAAACTGGGGACCCTAAGCCTAGGTTTTCACGATACAATTTCGGAAATAATTTATATAGGGTATTTTTCGGTCATTGAAACAGATTCTGTGGAATTTTTAAGTTGGCATGGATTTTCACCTTTATTGAGCATAATTTGACTAATATATAATGAAAAAATAGTATTAAAGAAGTATAAATATAAAATAACGATTTATAATAGAACCCGTTTTTCTCATAATTACCTTTTTATTTTCCCATTAATTAACCTTCCCTCAGTCTAAACTTGAACTTCTTCAATTGTCCTTTGTTTTTGCTGTCCATTACTTCCATTTCCATCAAAAGCACCTCCATTTAATGAAGACGAGCCATTATTATTGTTAATATTTGCTTGTATTTTTTGTGTAGTAGTCGACATTATAGAATTATTGTTGTTTAAATTCATTTGAAGGGCTGGAGGTGTTGTTATTGTTGTTGAGGGTATGTTGCCTCCACTGATACCTTCAAAAAGAGAGATAAATTTAAAAAATAATTTAAACAAAATATTAATCTAACGTATACGCTCAAACACTAGCCCTGGGTAATTATTGTCTCAATCTCTGGCTGGAGGAGCCAAGTATTTGAAAGGGGGTAATCATTCGAATTTTGAATTTGAACGTCCTGCAGGGGGAGTTAGGGGAGGGTTTATTTTTTCCCTTGTTTTGAGGGGGTAATTATTCGAGGAAATACAGTAGTTATAGAAATTCAGCAATAATTTACAAAAAAACACCTCCTCCATCAACCCCAATCCCTCCTGAACGATTTGCTGCAGCTGCTGCCAACAACATTTGAGCTGCGCGCCCATGTCTTGGGCAGGTAGGAGAAATTCCAGGTCCAAGATGGATTAAACCTGAAGGTTGATGATGTTGTTGCTGTGGAATACACATTGAAGGGTTTGAAGAACTAACACCTCCCCCTTTTGTACAAGTACTGGTTGTTGTTGATAGAAGAGGTTCCTGAATAAAAAACGTCAGTATAGATACCTCCAATATAAGGTAACCTCTATTTAAGAGACTTTTTAAAAATTGGTTTGGCCCTGGGTGAGAGCAATACCTCCTATTTAGGATACACCCCGTTTATGAGTACCACCAATATAAGCGACACTACCATTGAGGGGATTTCTTAGTTTGGTTAGACATTGAGTGAGCGGAACTTAATAAACGAACTTCATTCCCAAGAGATACCCTCATTTAAAGTACATACACCCTACTAAGGGTTAAGTTTCAACCGCAATCTTTTAGCGTGGTCAGTGTGTTAAAAAAAGCCACAAATTTTTGTTAAAAATAACAGAAAAAAGCCAAAAAAAACATCTAAACCTTTTTTAATACTTCTTTATCCTCTCCTTCATTTATTCTTCTTCCATAAGTTGATAATAAATGTAAAGTTGCTACTCTGCTTCTTTGTTCATCAGAATAATTATTTGTATAATTTCTGTTATTTTTTGTTGTTTTGTTATTATTAAATAAACGAAAAATATCAGAATTAGTATTTTCAGAATTAAAATTTCTATTCAAATTAATATGATTGCTGGTGTTTGTTGATGTTGTTAAAAGGGTTGTTGGTTCCTCCTGGCAAATATCAGGGTATCCGGAATAGATAACCGAACTGTAATGTTCAGGTATACAGAAAAGGAACACGATTCCGGATCCCCGAGGCGATTCCGAATATCTGGACCGATTTAGGATTCCCGGACCGATTCCAAACACCATGAACGTTTTCGGATATTGCTCCAGATATATGGATATATATCCATAGCTCCGTTACCAATTCCGGATTCCAGGATCGATTCCGGACCCCAGAGTCCGGATAACGATTCCAGATAAACGGAAATGATTCTTGATTCCGACTACCCGGGTCAGTTCCAGTTAACAATTCCGAATATTCGGATACCCTCTGGCTTTTTCGTTTCCGGATACCATGAATCGCTTACCTTAGGTGTTAATAAATACGAAGGCTTCCTTCCCTCTTTTTCTTCTTTATTATTTTTTATTTTTTCACAATTCATTTTATTTTTATTATTTTTTAATTCATTATTTAATAAATTTTCTTCTTTTTTAGTAGAAAAATCTGTTTCTAAAATATCATCAATTAAACAAGTTGAATGACGCTTATTTGTTTTATATGATGTTGATAAATAAGTATGTTGATGATTATTATTAGAAATTAAAGCTTTCTTTTGTTGTGGCTAATTAAACAAAAAAAGATTGAAGCAAACAAAAAGCAAAAGCCACGACAAGAAAGATTTTTTACACAGCAAAATTTTATAGCAGATACTTAGGTAGGATTGGATCAGTACTGGACATTGGGGGGTTCTGTAGCTCTGGCCCTCTTATGTGGAAATCAGAGGCTCTCCGCCTCATATGAAGCCTGAACCTCCAATGTGAATTTGGTCCTCCTATGATCCCTAAAACCAATTTTTTAACTCTTACCAATGCAGCAAAATTCATATCCAATCCAGGAAGAGGTTGTTGTAAATTATTGTTATTATTTGAAGAAGTTGAATAGCTTTGATAATTAAATTTTTTCTTTGAATTTGAATTGCGACGAACACACTTCTTAGAAAATACAACCAAAATACACAAATTTATAGCAGTTAAACCAACACCAAAAAGAATTAGCCAACCCCATGTTGGGTTATACAAAAATAATAATCCAGCTTTTCCTGTATTTTCTATCAAATTATTTTCTTGTTGTTTGTTAGGTGATTCATTAGATTTTTGAGTTGGGTGATTTGTTGATGTTGGAGGGATTGTATATGCTGGGAAAATTGAGAGAAAATTAAAAATTGAGAGAAAACCTGCAATTAATTTATTGCGCAATTCTTTAGGAAAAGGTGTTGGAGGCATTGGAGGTGGAGGAAAAGCAAAATTATGGTAAGTAGAGAAGGGACGTGGTTGTCCAAAGAATGAAGAACGATCAAAATGGTTGGGAAGGAAATGGTGTTCCTAAACGGAAAAATTTCTTAATAATGTAAATGCTCTAATAGAAGCCCACTCTCTAAAGGAAACCGATCCAAGGACTGTCAATGCAAGTCCACTCTAATAGAAGTGTTGCCTAATAAAAGCCCACACGAGGAGATCCCTTGAAACAGAAGCCTGGGGTCCCTTAGAAGCCACGACCATTAAGAGCCCATCAATGAACCCCATTAAAAAATATTAGCCAACTCTCTAATAGACGCCCACTTCTAATAAATAAGCACAACCGAGGAAGTCTGTCAAAAAATAAAAACTCAGGGCTTCTATTAGAACTTTACGGCATTTTTTTAAAAATTCAAAAAAACCTCAGGAATGTCCTTATCTCCTCTTTTGTTTAATATAGGAATAAATCCATTCCAAAACTGAACGTTTGAATTTCTGTAATAATTCTTCACACGCGGCCGAGTAGAAATTTCCAAATAAGCCTCACGGGTTTGAGAAGAAAATTGAGGCCATGGAAGGCCTTGAAAACGATCCTCAATGTTTGATTGGGAAGACATTGGAAGAGGACGAGTTGGGTCTCTTTAAATTAAAAATTAAAAAAAATTTTTGCGGACAAAAAATTTAAAAAAATTTTTGCAGACAAATTTTGCGGCAAATTTTTGCGGACAAAAAATTAAAAAAATTTTTTTGCGGACAAACTTTGCGGACAAAAAATTTAAAAAATTGCGGACAACTTTTGCGGACAAAAAATTAAAAAAAATTGCGGACAAACTTTGCGGACAAAAAAAAATTTAAAAAAATTTTAACAAACCCAGATTTAACAAAATTAGCCATAAAAGTCATCATAACACGAGAAATTTGTTTATCTTCTGGAGAAAATTGTAGCAATTTATTTGTTGACAAGCTTCCATCACTTAAATCTCCTCCAGCAGTAAAAGGATGTCCAAGAATATAAGGCAAATGATCCCCTGTAAAAGAGCCTTGAAGTCCACTATTTGGCTGTTCTTTCATCCAAGCATTTGTTTCGTGTGTAAAAACAAAACTGAAGGGGAGAGGAAAATTTAAAAAAAAAAAATTTTTTTTAAATACAAAAATGTGTTTGCTGCCTTTATTGGTCCTTCATCAAGTGAATGGGCTTTGGCTGTTTCAATTAGTGGAGCTAGAAAAAGATAAAAATTAGAAAAGGTCGAGGGAAGTCGGGAAATCTTAATAAAGCTCAAAGGATGTCAAAATGTCAAAAAATGACAAAAGTCAAAAAAATAAACAAGAGACACACCTAAAAAGTAATTGCCACTTTTGGCTTTTTTAAACCCTATGGAGCCATTTTTGGAAGTAAACGGCCTACAATGTTTGGCACAAGCGGTCCAAACAACTCGCTAACGACTAGGGTTGGTGAATCCCAAGGACGTAGCCTGGGGCTCGATTTCAGGAGAGCTAAAATGGTTGTGGGCCAAAATTTGGCATTTACTTTGGCGGGCTGAACCAAATTATTGCACACGTATTTTTATTTTTTCAGCATCGCAGGCGAAAATTTTTTGAAAATTAGGGGTCCAGAGGCTACACCCTTGGCGGATCTTGAGAAACCCTCGGATCAAACACCGAATCCGAAAATCCCCTGATATCCGAACTCTTTTTTGATCCGGATCTGCTAACCCTAACTAAAACGACTCTTAATTAATTTAAAAGACCTGTGAAAAGTAAATCTCCCAGTATTTCCATTAAACCATTCCGCATTGATTTTGAATGATTCTAAAAAATAAATTTATTTTTGATTAAAAAATTCAGAAAAAAAACCTTTGGATTCTCCCAATCTGTATATTCATTTAAAATTGCTTGAAGAATTTCTGATCGATGAAAATCAAAAATATTTCTGACAAGAGTTCTAAGGAAAAAATTTTAAAAGAAAAATTAGGAAACAGGGTTATCCTGAAACTCGATAACCAAAAGCAGTACTTTATTGACCTTAAACCCGAGACCCGAAATACGAAGCACGGGTTTTTTCAATCCAATCACTCGATCGGACCCGGTCATGAAGACCGATCATCGGAGACAAATATGAAGACCCAGCCCGAAACCCTACCGACTTCTTCACAACCCGTGACATCCCTCGTTGGAAAAAAGAGAAAAATCATTTAAAAACCTCAATATTTTATCCCTTCTTTCAATATTTAAACCATTTTGCATATCCTGATCAGCTATTAAATGTTGTGCTGGATGTTGGACTGTTCCAACAAGCAAATCAATTTCTCTGAAGAGTGAACCATATTTGGGAGAGAATGATAAAGATGGATGATTTGGAACAACCTTTAAAAATTTTTTTTTGAATTTTAGAAATTGTTTTCAATTTATAGTGGTCGGACTTCATTGTGAGATAACCCATGGGAACGAAAAAATGTACCTTATAATGAGGTGTATCTTAAATAGAGGGTATTGCGTAGGCACGCAACTCTCTCTCACATACCTAGCAGCTAACCAATAGGGTTGTTCCCCGTCCCCGAAAGTCGGGGAATTTGAGAGATTTTTTAATAATTCCCCGTCCCCGCACCCGTGAAAAAAATAAAGAATTTTCCCCGTCCTCCACCCCACCCCCCCCCCCCCCCCATTGGCGCTGCCTCCCTGAAAATTGTTCCCCGTGGCCCTCACCCCCGTCGGAAAACAACCACACTAACCAAACTAAAAAAAGTCTCTTAAATAAAGATGTCTACTAAATAGAGGGATAATTTGTAACAGAGGTCAACTGTCCTATTCGACATTCTTCCACTCCCTATTTCCCATGAAATGATTTTTTAAAATTAACCTGTCCATCAATTAAAGGTGCGAAAGCACTCAAAAATGTAGGCGATAAATTAGAAACTTTTTTTGCCGCATTTGTCAAATTTTGTAAATTTTGTTCTTGCATACATTCCAAAAGACGCGAAATAAATTCTTTTTGGTTTTTTAAATTTATAAAGTCTTCGCCCTCAGATGTGGAAGAACACTGAAAAATAAATACTTGAGTAAAAAATAGTCCCGGCCCTATAACTCATGAAGATATTGTCACTCCTTCATGTTCTTGGTATCATTGGATAGAGGATTAAACCCTCTACAAGATGACCAAAAATAAAAAATTTCAAGTGATCAATAGAAAAGTTATCTACTAAAAACTAAAAAATTTACAGAATTGTGTTTTTCGGAGATTAATCAGCCATAATTTTTGAATCAAATTGTTGAGAATTTTGACTTTTTGGTAGCTTGTAGGGTATTTAATTCTCCACCGAATGATACCAAGAAAATATAAAAATATCAACCCCCTCATAAGTTACAGGTGTCGGAACTCAAGAAGGCAAGGCTTAACCGAGGCGTACCCAAAAATTAAAAAACCTGCAGAATTCTGGCTAATTGAATAAACTGGTCTTGAGGATTATTTGCCATAGCCCAAGGGGAGAGCTAAAAACAAATTTATAAAAAAAATTCAAAAAAATAATTTTTAATACCGCTGTTCCATCCAATAAAACTGCTCTTCGAAATAGACGTCCTTTCAAATTTAAATGTTTTTAAAAATTTTCCAAAAAAAACCTTTAGGTTGTGTAATTGGAGATGCCATTAAAAGTGAAACTAGGGCTGCTCCAGATTCCCAACCTTTAAAAAAATTTAAAAAATTATTTAAATTTAGAATAGAAATTGAGAGTGCGGAAGGATGGAAAGAGAATATTAAATGGAATTTTTTAATTTTTTGTGGGAGAAAAACACTACCAGTAAAATTATTCCTCCCAAAATTCCCCAAATATTGGCCAAAAATTTCCCTTCGAATG